TTGTGAGAAAGGCTAACATGGGTTTCTTAAATTCACCAGAGATGGGATCAAATACCATGGAGGGGTAAGCATCCCCTGTCGACCAGTTTCACCCGCCGTGTGTTCTTTGTCATGATCGGGAAAAAGGAAAAAAAGCCGTTGACAATTCAGTGAGAAAATAGTAACCTGACAATTTATATGAAAAACGTCCGTCAACATTTGGTTCAATGATAAATAAACTCTTTTAATTATATCTCATTGTTTATTGTGCCTTTTTATAGGATTTTTTTTAACCTGACAACTGATCAGGTTGTCTCCAGATTGTGAATATATTTTCATGAAAACACACCTATCTTTCAAAAACCAATCACAGAGAAAACGGTTAGATATATAAATTTATTATACCTCTATTGGTTTTTAACTATATAAAAATAAGGTTGTAAAATGTAAATAATTCCCTTGAAATCACTGTGAATGGACTAATCCCCGTGCGTTAGTCATATGAGTTAATCCCTGCTTTGGAAGCTAGTTCCCCGTTATCTGTAATTCTCTATATTTTACTTTTTTAATTAATCGGTATAATATGTTAATGGACTAATCCTCGTGGGTTAGTCTAGTGAGCTAACCCCCGCTCTGAAAGCGAATTCCCCGTCTTTCGAAATTCATTTTTTTTTACTTTTGTATCGGTATGAGAAAACAGTTAAAATGTATATCATTGAAGGAGCTAGCAGGATACCAGTTTCCCTCGACCAGGTCTATTTCCCTCGGCTGCGCCTCGGGCAATAGTCCTAGTCTTGGGAAACTGGAACTCCCTCAATGATATTCAGTGTACTTTAACTGTATAATAAGATATTGTATATTACATTTTAAGATTTCATTTGAAAAGAACACATCCGAAGGACATTCTCCCCGTGACGTCTGACAGGGGACATAATTCAATTTGGAAGCTCCGTTGTTGTATACTGGACAGTTACCTACAAGAATATTCGTAAAGAAAAAAAATAAAGATATCAAAGTTGAATGGAATCACCAAATTCATACTCCCATTTCTATTTAACGTCTTTTAATTTTGATTTGGTTGAAAAATTTGAATTCCGTTATTATATAATTATGAATCTATATATCTTATTTAAAAAAATGTACCTGCGGGAATCCAGATAGATTCTGTACAAATTTCCACAATTTCGTCCAGTTCATTGTACAAGCAGTGATACAGATTCTGCGAGGAACACTGCAAGGCCTTCACTCTCTGCTCCGAGAAGGAGTCTGGACAACCAATCCCAGGGCTCATGCATGCAAAAAGTGACAGTTTCCCGTAAATATAAACACTTTCTGATATTTGAAACATACTTTTTATATTTGAAATTAAGACATATTATTGAATATTCATTGATTTTCAAATAATTTTACATCACTTGTAATATCCGGTACTTCATTTTCTTCCAAACTTATCGAGATGATGACATTTTAAAATTCATTAAAACATGTAAGATCTATCAACATTATGTATTTTTATAAATTTTCAGTAAATAAGTAAATAATTCAAATTATAATTCAAGGTATGGATTTGTGACTTGACAAGCTGAGCTAGGAGAGGGCATGTAAACAGTTTTTAAAGATGCCCAAGTATGTAAGTACATATGTGCTTACATTAAAATGAAATAAAGAAATGCAAATTAAAACTTAAAAAAAGAAAAGATATCAGTGCGCAGATAAACTTACCAATAATTTTGGGAGGTGTATGTCAAGTTTCGTAGTATGATGTATTTTATCTCCTTGTAATCAAATAAAACATTCATGAATTGCGTAGTACTTTGAACATAAGGGTTTATCTTCAATGATGAAGATATGTGCATGTTATCTAAAAAATTTTTAATTGAAGATAACATAAGTCAAAGGGAACTGTGCTCTCCATCGACAAGTGGTGACTTTTCCATTTAAGGTAGCTAAGGACACCTGACCCCCAAAAAACCTGTCAATAGATTTTGTTGAAATTTTCACAAGGTGTAAAGGGATGTGTAATGAACACTTAGTCGAAATATGAACATGGCATTGTGGGTAAATTACGGAACCAGGGGGTAATGAGTTACCTCCCCTTTTCAGTCACTCCAAAAATCATAATACAAGATAATTATTACCCATAAAAAATTTATTGTGCAATTTGCATTCAATATTAAAAATTATTTTTAATCAATATTGATTCTATAAACTTATTTTAACAATGGATTGTCTGAACATATATAAATTAAGAGGATAATCCATGTACAACATTTGAAATTTGACTAATTTGGCCATTTTCATGCACACAAATTTGACACTTTTTAAATTCTAAAAAAAAATCTGTCCAATAGAATTTTTATTTTTTATCATTATATGAAAGATCTGTCTAATACTATTCTTCACTCAAAAAATCTTGGTCACATTGAGGGCTAATAAAGGTACCAGATGGTCCACAACTACCCCCCCCCCCTCTTTTGGTTTCCCATCCTAAAGGTAAGAATAATGATTAAAGTGGCTATTCAAAAAAATGCATAGCAAATTAGGGAAAAACAACTGAAGAAATGAATTAGAAGTAAAAATCAATTGCTAATAAATGACTAAAGAAAATATTTTTATGAAATAACAGTACATATAGAGTAACACCCCCCCCCCCCCCCCCCCCCCCCCCCCCGTCCTCTCGCAATAAAACATGTAATTAAACCAATATTGAAATTATCCATAAAAAGTTCCTCAACAAAATAAAAATATGAATTTATATTTCAACAATAGATACTTGAACAAAAATGTAATTAAAAAAAAAACATTTAAATATTCTTCAACATGATCCCTTTTGATTACTTTCATGCAAAAATTCTATGTTTTCTTATAGATTTCTAAAAAATATATTGTATGACAAAAATGTCCAATACTATTTCTCACTCAGAAATCTCGGTTGCATTAAGAGGCAATTAACTACATGTATTAAGTTACAGAATGGTCTAATACACCCCCTCCTTTTATGCATCTGATATTTTTTCATTGCAATGTCAAAAATCCCCCTAATTATTAACATGTCAAATGTATTCTACTTAATTTGTCAAAAAATACATTTTGGTCATACAGAATAAGGAAATCCATCTGACATAGCACTGCAAAATTCACAAATTTCTATTTCATAGAATAATAAGAATATCATTGAAAAAATATGATCAGTACTCTTTCAAATTGATCAAAAGTCATTTTATTCCATGAGCAGGTAGGATAATAACATTTAATAGGCCATTCCAAGTCTTTTTCTGTTTGGCATTCAATTGCACCTTGGTTTTTGACACCTACATGTATCAGACAATCAAACAAAATCAGAACCCATACACTTGATTATTTTTGTTGACATCTTTGAGTTCTGTCAATTTCTCAAATATGTACAATAAATATGTCATAGGTAGTGTACTTTAGGCATTTAAATCTATTATTTTGATTTTGCTGAAGAATAGATATTTCTGCCAGAAAAGCAGATTGATGAAATAAAATCCTCAGATTTACACTATTATTATAACTATCGACATGATACACGTACATTTTGTGTTTTATTTTTTAGGCTATATTTTTATTTACAAATAGGTACATGTAGGTAGGTTTTTGATTGAAGGTTGGACGCTAAACAGAGAAAAAAAAACATGAAATGGGCTTAGTCTAAAACCGTCCTTGACCTGAGACATAAAATTACATAAACTATACCTAAAAATTAAAAACAAAATGACAATGCTGCACTGGGACAAAACACTTGATGCAGGACATTTCATATAAAAAGTTAAAAAAAAAAAAGATTCTACATGAATATTTGGAGCAGCTTATTAAAAAGCCTGAAAAACACTCACAGTGTAGATTATGCATAATAGAGAATATCTGTTGATTGGCCTATTACTGAACCCGACATCACAAGTCGACATTAAATTATGCATACATTTTTTTTAAAAAGAATAATCTACAGTACAGTCAACGCGGTTTATGCATTTACCGCGCACCTCCGCGGTGTGAATCTCATCGCGGTTAGTACAGGTGTCTCAGGTAAAAACCGCGTGCCCCCGCGGTTCAACAATCCAGGTAAATCACACCGTCGCGGTGCACATTAGCGATTACAGGTGAAAAACAGTCTTGGTCTCAAACGCGAGTTACCTCCCTTTGAAATTATAAAGCGAAACAAAATATAACGAAGCCAAAACATAGGGAATTGAAAAAAATCAAAAAGTAATAGTAATGATATTTTAGAAATATAGAAGCTAAAATATTAGAATATTTGAAGTACTAAACGAAAATAAATTTTCTAATAAATATACTCTCATGTATCCAAATAATTATAAAAATCGTCAAAGCAATTCTCAAATAGCGTTTAATAATTCTTGAACTACTTTTAATGAGTTCATTCCATTTAGAACCACAAATTTCGATATAAATTACAGAATGTAATATATTTATACGACAATGCAAAATAAAACACCTGGTGTGCTATTCATGATATTCGATATTAATTTATATTTTCGTAGTGTGTTTTTGTAAATTTTAGCTATTTAATTATTTTAATAGTGGATTGATTAAAGAAACGATCTATCGCAGTGTCACTTTCATTGGGGCTATAAATGAAGGTGTTTTAAAATTATTAATCTTCAAATATAGGATTAAAATACGCAGCAGATTTTTATGTAATCAGCATTCTCCGAGTCTTCTGTGAAGTCTCATTTCTTTCTAAATTTATTCTGGGTCTAAATGTTTTTACGTCGTGTAAACAAGAATTGACTGAAAAAGAAATTCATGAACTCCATCACAAACAATGTCTGAAAAACATTTTATGTGCATTTTGCATTGATTAGTAAACTTTTTTGTCCTCGGTAGATCTAGTACATGTAAACACAGTGTACATTTAGCTGCACGGACTAATCTTCGTCTCCCTAGTAACTGCTAGATTCCTGTGTATTAAGTGCGTTCAAGCGGAGAGAGATTTCCTGTCACTGTACTGGGTTTAATTTCACACCTTTGTACACTCTACAGCAGTGTAATACTGCAACTGACATATACAAAACATAACATAGTACATTAAACATGAAAGGCTGCATGTGGAGTGATCTATTACCACACCAGACATAAAACAGGGTAGATAAAATATGAAAAATGGAAAAAAATCTATATGTGGAGTGATTAGTTTCCACTTTAAACGTAACACTCAATCAAGAGATACATGTACCCGGTAATATAAAGCTGACAAAGAAAAGTAGTCTATTGACTATGTTAGTTTATTTTCAACAAGCGATTCTTGTCCTGCTCTTTGTTGGAAGGGGTGGAAAATCATTCTTCCGTCGAGCTGCAGTAGTTGAATCATCATCAGCATGAATGGTCTAAACTTCATATTCATATACCTTGTACTCTGTACTGATGAATCTATCTGTAATTTATAAAATTTAACAAATACAATATTATCTGCAGTCAACATCAAAATATATTTCTCACAATGTCTATATCTTATATATAGAATTTCGGTGAAAAAAACATGTATATGTAACAGGAAAAGAGAAAATGTATGGATGGACCGGGAATCAAACCTGAGACCCCTGCATCACTAGTCATGTGCTATACAGACTGAGCTACCCTGGACGATATATATCCATGGCCCAAACCATTACATATTACATACATGTATATATAACTTGCAAAAATTTACACCTCATACATGTAAATTGCCAATTTTCTACACTTTAATATTAAATTTATCATAGCAAAACTTAAATGACTTAACCATAATAACTATTATGCTGACATCAAGATCCCCTGGTCTGCTATGGGTTGGTGGTCCTATACCAGAAAGTACCATCTTGATGGCTGAAAAAAAAAATAGATCAAATAAATATACATGTATACCAGCAAAACCAAAATTTAATTATATTAATTGATTGGCAAATCACTTTTTAACCAGTAAATCTAACATTAAATTAAAATGTCCCACTGCCTGGCCAATATTCTAACTATACAGCAGTTGTAATATAAAGATTTGTCAATTTCATCAGACCAGCAAACAACATGTAAACAGTTTCAATGTTTACCACACTGACACAGTTTTTACCAGTGAAGAAAAACAAAAATAATCTGTCCAGGGTTCGACACTAAGGGTAGTCCGCTGGCCCGCGACAACTGAATATTGAGTTTGGACTACTAAACATGCCTTTAAACTTGCCCTGCAGGGCTACTGTAATTTTTACCAAACTGAAACACTCACTCAGAGCAACAAAAATAATTATAATATACACAAAATTTACCTGATTATTGATAAATTAATTTACTTTTCATTTTTCAAACATGTTTTATCCCAAAATTATTTTTTTAAGTCAAAATGTAAATACTGTAAAGGTGAATCGAAATACCCTAAATGATTATAAAATGTAGAATTTTTTGAATAGAAATATATCTTAGGTACAATCTGACAAAAATTAGGCCCCCAGTGATCTTGGAAATAAAAATAAATTATCTGTCCTTCACTGTAAGTACATAATCTGACACCCATGAAATTTGCCCCTCCCTCCCACCCCCATCAAATGAATGACAGTCCCTTTATTACATTTTCTTAATTTACTAATACTCATAAGGGTGAAGTTTAATGCTGAATTAAAATAGGCCTATTATCATGAAAGTATGTCATGTAAATATCTATAGATATGACTTACCAAGAGCTACTTTTGAGTTGATATCAACAGTGATCATAAGCCTCTCCATCGTATTACTTTCGGGGCCGGGATTTCCCGTGGAAAGTGTCGATAAATCCATAAATAATACAGTACTATCAGACCCATTTACATGTAGGCCTAATGTATTGATACTGTGCCGGAACTCAATCCGGAAATTTATTTGTTACTGTTCTAATTTTACTCTCGCTTTCATATTTCCCGCGTGAGATCAAGTTGTTTACTTTACCGATGGAATTTGGCTATTTTTTCTCTATCAGACAACAGTGTAAGTTTGCAAACATGTTTTTATAATTATTTGATGATGTATAAGAGATTTAAAACCATTCTTATTATGTGTCACTTCATAAATGCAAATTTGAGATGTTATATACTAGGGTCTGATTTTGTCAATGTATGTCAATGTATGGTGCGCATTTTCTGTCACATGTATTAAGTGATAATTTTCATACTGATTATGTGCAAGAATAATTAGCTGTTGTAAATCTTTTGTATTTTTATTTTAAGTAGTTTCAGATAATTTCTACATGTTATTTTTGTTTTCATTGGCAGTTTTTCACCTGATTGAATAAAGGAATTACTACTGTAAAACTCTTCTATTCGTCATGTTAGCTGTCTGCAACCCTACCTAGAGGCAGCACAGATACAATAAAGTACCTAGTCATCATCGCTTTCAAAGTTTTTGGAAAAGATACAAACGATATCACTGTGACTGAGAGCATAAAACTGATTTGTCAAGTTCCTCATCTCAGCAAATCTTCGTCCCTCTTTCGATTTCATCCATGTCATATCATGATTGAGATTCAAACCAGCAGCGTCGTCTGCTTTAGAATAGGGGGTGCTAGTCGGTCGTTTGCGATACACAGACATTTTAGTTCATAAAAAGGTTTTATAGTTTTCTGTTTCTTAAGATGTGTATTCTCTCATTCGCTCTAATTTACTTGATCTACCTTTACAGCTGAGCGTTCCTATAACGTTTCTCTTGTACTTTTCTCGGAGCACGTTGTTTACAACTTGCAGTCCGCCATATTGAACAATGCGCATTTCCGGAATAAGCCAACCGAAAAATTCTTAATTTAGAATTCACATGCAATGTCACGTGATCGCTATCCGTAGCTACGTTAAGTGAACAATTCTCCAGAGGGACGTTAAACAACAAACAAACAATTATAACCATAGAGTTACAAAAAATTACTCAGAGAAAAGTGTAAAGAAGAGTTCTCAAACTCACAAGTCCTATTAAACACTGATGCAAATCCAATGCAGAACAGGGGAGCGTTTACCTCAAGAACTAAGAACCAAAATTTAGTTCTGCTTACAACTTTCTATTTTCTTTTTCAATTTTGTATGTTTTAAATATTTTTAATAGGAACTTAGAAAAATATTTTCATGCTAGCAATTTTGAAAAGAATAATATTTTTTATGAAATACATGTATATGGAAATGTTTTACGATCAACTGAAGGTGTTTCGGGCTTAGTCGCAAGATCTTTTGTAAAACGGGTCCCAGACACAAACCTCTAAAATATCAGAGATGGGACCAAGTGCCTTGCCATGAAGAAGAATGAAACATATGGAGATAACGAACAGTATCCAAGATCAAAGATCCATAAAACAATACAAAATAGGAGCAGAGCAAACATAGACCTCCGAAACATCAGAGGTAGGATCAGGTGCCATGGAGGAGTGAGCATCCCCTGCCGACTGGTCACGCCCGCCGCGTGCTCCCTGTCATGTTCGGGAAATAACGGAAAAATCCGTCGTCAATTCAATGTATAAATAATGGACTAAAAATAAGGTATGTTCCTGCATAGGTAAGGGAAGTTGACGATAGAAAAGTTAAAGTCATCACGTTTATCATAGAGCTTGGTTATGAGATTACCATTAACGTCTTTTTCAAGTAAAACATCCAAATATGAAAAAAGATGTGTCAGATTCTGTGGTATCTTTTATCTCAAGCTCTCTAGGATATATAGTATCGACATAAGAATGGAAATTACCATTTTAATTGACAGTACGTCGTCGATATATCTAAATAACGAGTTGAAGGTCAAAATAAGTGTTTTCTTCTTTTCAAGCATAAGATTTTGCATAATTTCTGCTTAATAGGAATACAAAAATAGGCCTGCTAATAACGGGACGCAATTTGTACCCATGGGAATTCAATAGATTGTTCGAAGATCTGTTTTCCAAAAACGACATAAATATTGTGTCAATCAAAAACTCAAGCATCATTTTGATGCCAACTTCAGAGTACTTTTGTGTACAATCAGAATGGTTTTAAACAAAGGAAGGATATGGAGATAACGAACAGTATTCAATCTCAAAGTCCATAAAACAATACAAAATAAGAGCAGAGCAAATACGGACCCCCGAAACATCAGAGGTGGGATCAGGTGCCATGGAGGAGTAAGCATCCCCTGCCGACCTGGTCACACCCGCCGTGTGCTCCTTGTCATGATCAGGATATAACGGGAAAAAATCCGTCGTCAATTCATTGTATAAATAATGGACTAACAATTGGTATGAAAAACGTCAGTCAGCATTTGACTCAATGATAAATTGTATTTGCTGACAAGGTCATTGTATCGACCATAGAACTTACGAAATGATGACTTTAAACGAGACTGCTGATATTCTTGTTTCATCAACTTGCTTGTCAATAGTTTACCTCGTTTCAGAAATTGTTCATAGGTAGAGTATGCTCTTGCGTATAGAATCAACTGAGATATATGTACTCCGTATGCAGGTGATGAAGGTATATTGCTGCATAGGTAAGGGAAGTTGACGATAGAAAAGTTAAAGTCATCACGTTTATCATATAGTTTGGTTGTTAGATTACATAATTTTGCAAATGACCAATGACAAGGTAAGTAAATTTACTTCCATTTTCATTGAAAACAACAGCTGTCAATGATATTAAAAAGCCTGGACTTTAATTTATCGTGGGGAATGGTTGTGTATAAAGTTGAAAAGTCGTAAGTTTTTAAGCTGCTGATTTTGGTGAAATCTTGTGATTTCAAATAGTCCTAAAATTACGTGGTATTTTAAAGTATCCACATCTGATTTACACCACTTCTTGAATATATTGTTGCACAGTACTCTTGAAGTTTCTCCTTCACTACTGCTAATATCTTAGTGAGGAGTAAAGAAAGAGGCTTGGTTGAACATTTACTGGAACCGCTATGTATCTTTGTTTGTAAGGATTCTTATGTAGTTTTGGAATCCAATATATATATGGTAGTTCAAATTCATTTTGGTTCTTTGGAATATCAAAAATATTCAAAACTGACATATGATTTTGAAGAATTTCTTCCTTAGATAGGGACTATGAGTATAAGTTGGATTACCACTTGTAGAATTAAATCCAAGTTCTTCTAAAGTACAATTTATATAATGAGCCTTACAAACGAAGACAATGTTGTTACCTGCTTTGTCAGCAGGGACCAGTACGTACTGATCATGTAATCTACCAAATTCTTTTTTCACTTCTTGATTATTGAATGCAGAAGGATAGATGGTTTTCATATTGCCCCTAAATCTTTTAGTACGTGATTTTAGCATGGATCTGATACATTTAATCCATTCTGATAAAGTGTCAACGTCTTCTTTTTCATATCTGGCCCATTGTCTGGCGTAATTTTCAACAGAATCCATAATATGTATGAAATTTCGATGCCAGTTGAAGGATCGTGGTTCCCTATATTTAGGACTTTTTAATATGAGTGATCTAAGGTCCTCATTATTAACTATATTTACGTCACCTGTAATAACATATTAAGCAGGACTATAGTTATAGGGTGAAGAACATGAACACCCCCTGCTAACCGGTCACATCCACTGTGTGCTCCTTATCATGATTAGGAGTAACGGAAAAGGCAATTCATTGTAAGAATAATTGCGTAGCAATTGGTATGCAAAACGTCAGTCAGCGTTTGAATTAATGGTAGATTGTGTCTCCTAGTAAGGTCAATGTGTCGACCATAGAACTTGCAAACTGATGAATTTAAATAGGACCATTGATATTCTGTTGCATCAACTTATTTGCCAATAACTTGCTTTGTTTAAGAACTTGATCATACGTAGATAATGCTATTTCGTATCAAATCCTTTATATGATTTCTTTCTTTTAGTTTTACTAAAACTGATGAGGGAACGACAACTCTGAATAGAAAACATCCGATAATGTACGCATTGAGAGTTTTTTCCTTAACTTTTTTTAGAAATGTTTTCTGTTTAGCTGTAAATATGTTGTGTAGTATTAGTTGTCTTGTTTTTTTTCTTATTTTTTTCTAGAGGAAAAACAGTTATAATTTAGAACTGAGACTTAATATCGCTGCAATAAAAAGCAAATAACTGTAATGAAAACTATCCTTTTTATTTCCCTAATTTAATTCCATAATATTGATGATGATAAGGAAAATATGTAAAATTACATGAACTGTCTAGCACTTTAGTATAAAAGTTAATCCTACATATTTAAAACATTTAAACAAAAACATTAGAGAGAGAGAGAGAGAGAGAGAGAGAGAGAGAGAGAGAGAGAGAGAGAGAGAGAGAGATGCTCTTGTGTATCGAATCAACTGAAAGACATAAATCCCGTTTGCAGGTGATGAAGCATCTTCGCTAGCCAAGGGTTTCCAATCCGAAATCTACTCTACAACGTTGTAGGGAAGATTTCGGATCGGAAACCCTTGGCTAGCGAAGATGGTGATGAAGGAGGTATAATATTGTTACACAAGTAAGAGAAGTTGACGATTGAAAAGTTTAAGTCATCACGTTTATCATAAAGCTTGGTTGTTAGATAACCATTAATCTCTTTTTTCAAGTAAAATATCGAAATACAGATAAATTTCGAAATACTGAACCTAGAGAGATTGAGGAAAAAATTGTTCGAGTGTATGAAACAGATGTGTCATACCCTGTGTATTTTTTATTTCGAGCTCACTGGGATATATGTCATATCGGCATAAGAATGGATATAACCAATGTTAAGTGAACATAATGTCGTTGATAAATGTCGAGCTTTCTTCTCTTCACGTATAAGATTTTTGACAAATTCTGCATTATATGAATAAAAAATAGGTCTGCTAATAACGGGGTACATGGGAATTCCAAAAGAATGTTGG